GATTTTTAATCCAATAAATTAAAATATACCCTATTAATTAATTAGCAATAAGTTGTTAATCCAATGATAAGCGAGTTGGTCTTTAAATAAAATTTTTTATCGGTGTTCAAATTTTAAATTCTGAAGTTTTATTTATTAAAATGTAATTAAATCTTAACGCTCATATTCTAATTAAAATTAATCATAGATCTAATACCAGATGAAATACCTAGAAAAAACTAAAAACTAAAAAATTAAAAATATAACCTATTCTTACAAAAGGTGACGCATACAAAAAAAAAAAAAATTCTAGAAATTAGTCCATGTAAACAACGGAAAGCTTCCACTAAGAAATATTAATTAATGACCACGCATTTTCATTATCAATATAAAAGGACCTCCAGAAGGTATCCCTGGCAAGAAAATGCCATGAGGAGAATGGAGCTGAGCTGATGTGTGCGTTCGGTGAGAAAATTGTGTCAGAAAAGACTCTTTCAAAGTACAAAAGTTGTAAAGAAAGAAACACAAATTAATTAAAATGAGAGACGTTGGCCTACCAGGAAGACCATTTCCTTGCCTGTTGAAAGAGATGTGCATGCATTTGCTCCTGTTCTTCGACAATGAAATCTCATTACGCGTTAAAAACAAAAACAGTGAAAATCAATGACCTTCTTCTTGTTTTTCTTTTTGTTTTCCTTTTTTAAAACAAATAATACCGTCATTGACGTTTACTCTCTAACTGCTAATTATATGCCCACGCTATGCTGCTAATTGGTTTTTTTTTTTAATTGTTGTTGGTAAAGAACTGCAGTGGTTTGTTTTGTTCGAGAGTGTGTTACAAGCTAAAGAAATAATAATTTGTATCTAATCCAATAGCTTTGAGTTGCTTTTGTGAGAGTCATAGGTATCAGCGTTGTGCAGGTCTATGTTTGGTGTTATGATGTTTGAGTTGGAACAACTTTTTGATTGGATTTTTTTATTTCGAACATGTTTGAAAGATAGTTTAATAAATAAGCTTCAAAATTTTGTTTGATAGGTTTATACATTGTTATATGATTGTATGTTTATGTATTAAAAAAGAGGAGATAATGAATAGAAAAGGAAAAAAGATATGTGTAATAAATTAAAGCATGGTTGCTGGTGGTTGAATGTTTGAATGAAAAAATTAAGCAAAATAATCTGCAGGATAAATGCTAGAGCCAAAGAAACGATGAAGCAGAAAGTTGTAAATTAAAAGCTTGATATATAAATGGAATAATTAAATTTGATAGCAGTAATTTGCATAGGAGGCAAATGCTTACAAAGAATATCTAGTTTCTTAATATATATTGCCTCAAGCAATAATGAGCAGAAAATGATTTTCAAGGCGAAGATAACATAACATGCTGTTGAATAGATAAGCATAATATGATAGTAGTGATTTACAAAGGAGCCGAATGCTTACAGAGGATATTTAATTTATATTATGAGCACCAAATGGTTTTTAGGGCTAAGATAAAATAACATGGAGCTGAATGCATAAGCATAATCTAACGATAGTAATTTACATAGAAGGCAAATGATTACAGAGGATATTTAGTTTTATTAAAAAAAAAATTACCTCAAGTAATAATGAGCAGGAAATGGTTTTGAAGGTGAAAATAACATAATATGTAGTTGAATGTATAAGCATAATCTGATAGTATTAATTTGCATAAGAGGTAAATGCTTAAAGATGGATATTCGGTTCTATGAAATAAATTATTTTAAGAAATTATGGAGTACAAAATGGATTCTAGGGCCAACATGACATAATATACACTTGAAAGCATAAGCATGTATCAATGCATTTGAATCCTAATACAAACGATGTGAGTTTTAAAGTAGAACACTTCAAAAAGCGCTGAATAACAAAGATGAGCACAATGTTCTCGTTGTGGGTAGTTATTTGAAGCTGAAGTTCTAAATGGTTCTAAGTCTGATCAGACTACATTAGGTCGAGTACTTTCATGAGTTGAATAATTTCAGCTAATATTTGAGTGGGCTGTGGTCGGACAACTGACCTTGTGTTTCTTCGAACTAAACATTAGTTATTTTAGTTTCAAATCTGCTATGTGGTACCTGTAGCAGCTCAGTGATGTTTTTATAGCAAGCCAATGTTTTTACTTAGTATATGTAAGCCTTATATATATATATATATATATATATATATATATATATATAATGAGATGGTTTCAAACATAACAGAAGGTAAGTAAATGTTTTTATACAAACCTTTGGTCAACATGTTCAATAGAGTCATTTGAAAATTCCAATCTTCTCTTTATGGCCAAATGATCATCTTGGCTATTCAGATTGGTTGCAGGTTGTTGTTCTATCGATGCTTTGGCCAAAGGTAAAAGCACATCCCCTTTTTTGACAACTGGTGCACTGATGTGGCCTGTTCAGTGACATGCTTTGATGAGGTGTGGTTGGAGGCTGCACAATCCACATCATCTTCAAAGGCAGTGTTAACCAAGATGTCATATCTGTTGTTTTTTGCTCTAAAAGTTCCAAAGTGTATCTGGAACACACGATTCTTCATAAGTTTTTTCAATCATGACTGATGGGATTTTAAAAAGGTCCTTGAGCTTTTCATGAACAATGAAGTGATGTGCAGAGTGTCCAAAGAAGTTTTCTATAGATTTCCCAATGATTATGAAGTATACGATGTCATCACCATCGGTTACAATACAGTCCACATTGAACCTAAACACAATAACATCAATACACAATAGTGATTCTTAGCCAAGTAAATCAGCCGTAGCAACTTGATAAATAGTTGGTTATTTGGTGGGTGCAAATGTTGGTTAAACGGTGTAAAAATTTGAAAAATAATAAATTGATGCAATGCAAAAAAGATTAGCATCTTTCATACATTGATGTGTTGTGTGCTGTGTTATGAAACAAGTTTTGGAGTAAAAGAGCAACTTACGATATTGGTGGTTAATATTTTATTAGGGAAAAGAGAGATTTTTTTTATGCAAATTCAAACTCTCTCTATTTCCTCCCATTTCCCTCCTCCAATTTTAACTTAAAACCTTGCTCAATTAACTTAGAAAAACCATAAAACAAATTGATTAAAGTGAAGTTTAGCTAGATTAAAGCTTGAAAGGCTTGGAGGGTTTATGATTAAAATTAGGGTTGAAGAGCCAATTATCAAAGGTAAGACTTTTTGTCATTTGGTCTTTAAATGAAGATATTTATTTGTGTTTATTGTTGATTCTGAAGTTAATTTGTATTGAGTTTGTTATCGGAATGAAAAAAATAAAGTTAGATTAGTGTTAGGGTTTTTGAGACCCATTTAGAAAAAACGTAAAATAGAGCTACCCTCGCATCCCATGAAAACTCGATCCCAAACCGGCCACGACAAACCAAAGATCTTCTACAACCAATTGACCATTAAGCCATCATGCTTCTCCATTGCCCGAAAGTACCCCCATTGTTGTAAAGCCATAGATGAGAAGATGATCGCGCTATAGTCCAATGGCATTTGGACTCTAGTTCCACAAGAGCGAGCATCGAACATAGTAGAAAATCGCCGGGTCTACGTAATAAAAAGACTTCCAAATGGGATAGTAGATTGATTCAAAGCATGCCTTGTTGCCAAAGGCTTCCATCAATGCCCGGGCATCGACTACACGGACACCTTCGGTCTCGTGGTCAAACCGACAATGGTGCTACCGATACTCTTTTTGGCGAGTTACAAACAAATGAGCGAGTACAACAACTTAATGTCTCTAATGCGTTCTTGGATGGAGATCTAGAAGAGTCAATATTTATGGAGCAACCAAGGGCTATGTGGACTCAAGATTCTCGGATCATGTCCGTGCTTTGAAAAAGTTCCTTTACGGTCTCAAGCAAGCGCTTAGAGCTTGGTACCGATGCCTCGTAAATCAACTTTTCCATCTTGGATTCAAGGGATCTTAGTCCGACACTTCCCTATTTATGTATAAAACGGGACCGGACACCATATATTGTCTCATTTATGTGGATGACATAATTGTGATCGAAACAATACAAGCCTAATTCGAGCTTCTCAAAACCAAGCTTCAAGAACAATTTGCTATTAAAGATTTAGGCGGACTCGCTTATTTCCTAGGCATTGAGACGCATTGGTGTAAGGGAGGATTGACCCTCACACGATCCAAATATATAAGGGATATACTTGCGAAAGGAAGAAATGCATGAGGCCGGCTCGGTTTCTACTCCCGCCACTTGTCATTGAAAAATTAATAACCGCAAGACCTCTCGCTTGATGATCAAACATTGTATTGTAGCATTATTAGAGGACTTCGGTATCTTGTATTAACACGACCGGACATATCCTATGCTATCAACAAAGTTGCCCAGTTCATGCACGCACCTACAATAATTCATTGGTCGACTGTTAAAAGGATTTTGAGGTACTTAGGCTTTATACCCGATCATGGGTTGCATTTCAAGTCTACACCCACCTTAACCATAAATGCCTATACTCGATGTAGACCGGGGAGGTGATGCGGATGACGGAAAAAGTACTATAGGATATGCAATTTATTTCGACCATAATCTTATGTCCCGGTGCTCAAAGAAGTAGAGAACCGTTACGCGATCATCCACGGATGCAAAATATCGTGCCTTAGCCACAACAACATCCGAGGTTACTTGGATGCACTCTTTATTAAAGGAGATTAGAGTTATAATACTTGTTGCACCCATCATCCGGTGTGACAATATTTACGCCACCTACTTGGCGGTCAATTCGGTTTTTCACGCCGAGTCTAAACACTTAAAGATTGATTTTCATTTTGTCCGCGATAAGGTGAAGAAGAAAGAGCTCATTATGAGTTTCATTTCCACTAATGATCATATTACGGATATCCTAACCAAACCCCTTTCCAAATGGCAATTCCTTCTATTAAGGGACAAGTTGACTATGCAATCAACAGCTCAGCTTGAGGGAAGATGATAATGATACACTAGCTGTCATGTTTATCTCTAACCAGCTGTTATGTTTATCTCTAACCCGTGTTTTTCTCTGCCTCTAGTCTATACAGTAGTATAGTTAAAGATGTCTTATTGTTAAGCTTATCAGCTAGAGTACCTGTGGTTATAAAAGTGGCGTCCCTGTAAATGTAGAAGTCTCCACTTGATATAAGTCTCTATAACTACGGTTTTCAGCTTTGTAAAGTATAAATACAGAAGCTTAACGAATGAAATACATACTGGAGTTTATGCAATTCTTCATTATAATTTACTCATGTTTCCGATCAAGAGTAATTTTTCGGTTGCATTGTAGAGTAATTTACGCAAGTCTTTCTTGTCAAGTACTTTCATGAATTAATGAGGCTTAAATGTATAAAATTATGATCTGCAATTAGGCGCAATATTTCTGAGTTTAATTAAGTATTTGATTATTGGTCTGAGTTAAAATTAAAACTGCACTGGTTCGTGTATCTCAAAAATACAGAATTTATATGATTATAATTGCAATAAATAAATAACTTCGACATACCAGAGTACATAATAAAATAATGAACAATGGGATATAAGGATTCATTCTAAAAAATAATCTATTTTTCAAAAATTAATATTTTTATTAAAAAATTCAATAATATTGATCTTTTTTCTTAAATAGAGAAGGGAATTTAATGATTATTAATATTGATAATATACTATATATTAATATTGTAATAAGAGTACAGTAATCAACTAGTCAGCACTGCAGATAGTACAGAATCAAATAATTTTAATTTTTAATTCAAATCTTGTATTCAATTTTTTTCTTTATGTTTTTCATAAGTTTTTTACTTGTATCAAAAAAATAAAGTTACAATTAATGTATTGACTTGTATAAAAAATAACAAATAAAAAAATATTCTTATTTAATGCTAGTGAAAATATTTTTTATTTTTATTTTTTATAGTATATGCATTTGACTTATATATATTTATTCACATAATAATCAATAATGTTAACATATAAAAATTGTATTTGAATTATTTGATGATCTTTAAAAATTATTTTAATTATTTTATTTTTAAAAAATTGGTTTTATAATATTAAAAAAGATAATAACAAATAATTAGTGTTATGTATAGATACATAGTTAATTTTCAATAATATCAATTATTTAATATTTTTGCATATATCATGATTATATTTGGTAAGTTGAAAGTGTACAAGTATAAACCAAAAATATTAAAAAAATAATAATAAATTATCTAAAATATATTATATATATTTTATTTTTATCGGACTGTCCGAGAAACACAACCAAAAAAACAAAATGTTTTAGATCTTTCATAATTTTTTTTCAGAAATTTAGAACAAAAAAATCAACTACTGGAAGAAAAAAACGACTAAGAGCAAGCTTGTGCTTTTGGACTTGGTTCACAAAATTGTCAAAGGAAAATAAATGCAGATGAAAAAAAAAAAAAAAAAATCAAGCATCACTCTTTTAAGAAATTCTATCTGTTCTGACAAAAGAAGAAAAATGAGTGAAAAAGAAAACGTGGTTCTTGAAAAAGTAAATACCACATCTGCTATTTGTCTTAAAAGGCTGGATACATGATGAAGAAGAAAAGGAAAAGACAAAAAAGTGCAATGGAAGCAAGAAGCATAAATTAGTGACAAATCAGGAGGTTGATTTTGTTTTAGTATTCTTTTTTTAATTAGCTGCTGCACGCACTATGCTGAAATCCGACGTAACGAAATCATTTAATTTTTTTTAATTTTTTAATTAAAATTTAGTATTTAATTAATTTTTTACTTAAAAAGATTTATTTTTTTATGGATTGATTTTTAAATAAAAACTTATAATAATTTAAATTTAAATATTAATTCAGAATACAAAAACATATAATGAATATTTCATCATCACTAGACTGCATGAGAAATGCAACGAAAAAAAATGTCCCCCCTGCTCGTGCGCTTAGACTTGGTCCAGGTTTGTGCTCTTAGGCTCGGTTCCAGTCGTAAGCAAGGCAGACCTGCTAAAAAAAAACAAAATTGGATCCTGCAATTTTCGGTGAGCTATGGTTCTATAAACATCATCGAAAAAAAATGGGCTCTTGATTTCTAGCCTCTCTAAACCCAATTTCAGCCTTTTTTTTTTTTTTTCCAAAATACCTTAAAATGACATAAATAATATAAAAAAAAACTCATTTTAATATACACAAAATACATAAAATTCAAATTAAAATAAAAAAATTAAAATATTTTGAACTTTCGATCTTATTCTTTATACTATTTCATGGCTTAAAACTACTACAAATGAATTTTTTTTTTCTTAAAGACGAACAAAACAGTGATGAGTTCGACGGTGTAGGTGGCTGGAATGGGCATCAAAATCCTTCTCTCTCCTCTCTTTTCTCTCTTCTTTTCTCTTTCTTCCAAGTTTTCAAGGACCAAAATGAAATACAAATGAAGTTTGAGATGAAAAAAAGGTTTTTGAAAAAATTAGGGATCAAAGTGTAAAAACGTTGGCAAACTTGATTCCAAATAATAAAATGCATGGTGCAAATGAGTGTGGGTAGTGAATAATAATAATATAATTAAATTTTTTATATATAATTATGGATATGTAAAATAGAAAAGGCTTAGGCTCAACTCCTATTGAGGCCTAGACTTGTTCCGGGTTTGGAATAGGCTGAAAACTCCGACCCCACAGGAAGTGGGCCTTTTTTGTGGGGGTTTAGACCAAGTGAACCTTCATGGCTCCATTAGTTCTCCACAAGTGCCTCCTAAGGGAGATCTTCCTTATGGAGGGCTCTTCGATCTGATTTGCTGAACGGCAACACCTTCCTTGAATGTTGAACAAATCTCACAGTGACCATTAGACAACAGCAGAGCACACTAAAGATTTGCTCCTTCTTCACTGTTTAATATGCTGGGCAGCTGGAGACTATAAAAGGCTATGAATGATGCAATTTTCAATGGCACTGATTGGTCTTGCTACCAGATTCCGGGGAAAGCGATAGAGGAGTTAGAAGAGTTTGAAAATTGCAACTTGTCCTTGCAATCTCACCTCCCCTCATTACAGCACCGTAGCTCTTATATTGTAGCAAGAAAAGGCCTTTAATGATTTCTAGTCTTATGAAAACTCTGTTGTTCTTATTAGCTGAGTTCAAGATCATTTGGAGGGCTCAAAATGTTATTAATTTAGAAAAAGATCCTCTCTTTGGGTAAAACAAGCCAAACTAATCCAGCAAAGAGATATAAAAGTTTTTAGCTTCAGAATGTTTGGAAGGATCTATAATGAGACACTGCCTTACATGCCATACACACATGCATGCATAGCTATAGTTAATCAAAATACATCAACTATAGTAGACTTAGAGACAACCTTAGTATTTAGAATAGATTTGAAACAGCATTGGTTTGCTCGAGCAATCTATCTTGGCTCAACCTCTGAAAATCGAGCATTCATTAACTGAACATGGTTTTCTCAGGCTGGATGAATAAGTTGCTTGAATCAAATCCCTTTCAGTGAAAAAACCTGGTTGTTTAGGCTGAGGCAGAGCATCATCATCACCTAACATCAGAACTACATTTGACATGTTTGGTCGATCTTCTGGATTTTCTTGCACACACAATAAACCCACGTGAATAGAACGTAGCACTTCAGATAAATTGCATGTTATAGCTATTGATTCGGTAACCAGCTCCAAAGGCCTATTTTCATTGAACAATCTCCAAGCCTGATAAAAAAAAAAACCATGCAGTTAGAATAGAGTTGACATTTAGAACCAATGACCTTGTAGCTTGAACAGATTCGACTAGGCCTTAACGTTTTCAATAGCTTTTTAACTCCATTGATGTTCTGATTAAGATTTTGGACTCTGTTTCTTTCAATTATATTTTTCGGGAAGGGAATGCAGTGGCTGACTCATTAGCCAAAAGCAGTCTGCATAGAACCTGTGACCTTGTAGCTTGGTTATGATCCTTTTCTTTCACTAGTTTTTTGGTCATGCAAATCCTTGTCAGTTTCAAAATTTCTACAAATTCTTCAAGCAATTGAAGTGTCCAAAGTAAGAAAACATGCCAAGCACCAGGAACCTAACGTATAGTTTCTCAAGAGTAAAGTGAAAAGAAGAGACTAAATAAAGTATTTTTGAAACTTACATGCCCAAGGAGGTTGAAGTGGTGGTCTGGATGACTGAATCCTCTGTTCTTGTTTCCATTCACTATCTCTAGCACCAATACTCCGAAGCTGAAGACATCCGATTTTAGTGAGTAGAGTCCATGATTTGCATACTCTGGGGATATGTAGCCACTGCATTTATCCATGGAATAGTAAGTTGTGTTCGTGAAAAAATAAAGATAACATCATATGCTCGAGGAGACACTTACTATGTACCAGCCACTTTATTAGTATTGGCTTCGGTTTCATTTCCTCCAAAACTTCTAGCCAGGCCAAAATCTGAAATTTTTGGGTTCATTTCATTGTCCAATAAAATATTGCTGGCTTTCAGATCTCTATGAATTACTCTTAGTCTTGAATCTTGGTGAAGATAAAGGAGTCCACGAGCAATCCCATTGATAATGTTGTAACGCTTGGGCCAATCTAGTAGAAAGCTGTGTATTTTTTCTGTCAAAATATTTTCCAAAGTCAAATCATTCTAGCTCTTATCAGATTCATGGAAAGCTTAGGAGAAAAAACTCCATACTTAATAATTTTCAACTAAAATTACAAATTTTATGACAGCATATGCGACCACGAAAGCAGAGAAAAGTACTCTTCTCTCCAAGCCTTTCTCCCAAGTGTTTTGAAGGAAGCACAGCGGCTGATTGTCGGGTGCTTATGGTTTCTCCTTCTCCCTGTAACTTGTATCCCCGATTGATCCTCTTTTCTTAAGCCACAGTTCATGGCATTGTTTACTAAGAGTTGGTTTTGGTGCGTGTACAAGGACAGACCTAAAGTGCAAAAATTGGAAAGAATTTGTACGGTTTTTTGGGAGAATCATACCGAAAATATAGAAGTCCAAACTTTTATTAGGCAAAAACTCGTAGATCAGCATCTTTTCATCTCCTTCAGTGCAGCATCCAAGAAGCTTCACTAGATTCCGGTGCTGAAGTTTCACAATATAATTGGCTTCATTTTTGAACTCGTCAAGTCCTTGTCTCGAATTCTTAGAGAGCCTCTTCACAGCTATTTCTCGTCCATCGGCTAACGTTCCCTGCAGATAATCACTCAATATCATAAGCAATCATGCTGTCTTGTGAACAGTCATTGTTTTATGCCTAAAAGGCTTGGTCCTGTTAAGTTTTTGAGATTGTTGCGGATGTGGCTCGCACTTTCTAAACAGTTTAGTGCGCTAAGCAGAGTTACCATTACGGTCTCATAGTTTGTAAGCACAATTGCCGAAATACGTAGATTTTGTGTCGTGTGATTGTTCATTGTCTTTCTTTTTTATCTTCTTGCTTGACTCATTTCCTAACAAGTCCCATGGAAGCACCAAAGAAAACAATACATACCAAAATAAATCAGTGGTATCATGAGTTTGTATCGTGAAATTTTGATACCTTATAAACAAGTCCGAAACCCCCTTCTCCAAGTTTATTCGTTGCAGAAAAATTATTCGTTGCACAAGCCAAAGTACCCAAATCAAACAATGGTAGCTCCAGATCTTCCTTCTTGTGCTTTGAACTTCTTTCCAGAGCATCTGCCATTTTTCATGCAGGCAGAACTGGCATGAATAAGAAAGAAGCATGGAACTGGGAATAATATTTTCGGTAACAGTTAAATTTCTTTAAGCTATCAATAAAATTTTTAATTTTTAATAATGCATTATATTTTTTAAAAATCAAAATTTAAAAAGGAGAAGAAGCTGTTCTAGCTCCTGGCACAAAACTTCTTATTTGAAAATCTAGAGATGGAGTACTTGTTAAATGTTCCTGGTGTGAATTACGTACCGTTTTTCTGCTGCTTCTTCATCCAAACATAGAAGACCAAGGCTAGGCAAAGGAACAGAATCCCAGTGGACAACACAGTGCTTATTATCATCCTTTTCATAGCTTTGGATTTTTTATTTATCTCGGCGCCATCTTCATCATCTACATCTTGGCAGAGAAAAATTGGAGTTAAAAAGACAACAATAGGAAAGCCAAATGACATAGAATTTAGAATGGCTAGAAAGTTTATATTTCTACTAGCGCCCTTCCTCCAATCAAAGTTTTTATTTCTTATCTATTACCTAGGATTTGTCCTTGTTGGGAATGACTTCTATTTAGCATGCCATGTCTGGATCCTGTGCTATATATGTACAAGGAAACACAGTTGGCAAGCCCATTAAAAATGAAGAGTTTGAGAAACATACAATAGTGAAAAAGATAGCTGCACTCTCTTCTATATCTCATGCATTTGATTTTTCATTTTAGGTTTTGCTGAAGTAACTTAATATTAGAAACTTGGTAGACCTCAATGTTGCTATTTTTCTGATGAGTAAGGAAGTTACTATTTAAAGAATGCTTAACCCCAGGTTGCTAGAAAGTAATTTATAGATACTGACATTTCTTGGCCGATGATAAATTCATACCTAGTTCTGATTCTGCCATCCGTATATAAATATCTTGCTCATTTTCGGGAAAAACTCTAATGTCAATCAGGTCGCCGAACCAGAGCAAGCACCCACTTCCTCCGTTCCTGATGTCCAAATTTGAATATGCTGTGCAGCTGCAGTTGTCGAAGCACATGTTCTTGCGCTCCTCAAGATTCATACTCGTGTTAAACCATGATGATTTAGTCTCAAGCATCTTCATTCCGGAGAGCTTTCGGAATCCATTTGTCGAACAATTCAGTGGAGTCCTTCTAACACAACCATCCGACCATTCTGTCACGGCCCAGTTTGTTGGAACTTTTGGTACAAATCCATTCAAGCAATCACATACTGGAGAGCTTGCAATGTTACAGAAACCATTTGCACCACATAGTGCATATCGATCACAATTATCTGTATTTGCTGTTTCATAAAGCAACCAACTTTGTCTT